AATAAACTGACTAACTTTTATCAAAATAGAATTGACCCAGTATTCAAATGAGGTCTTCATACATTAAAGAAAGCAAGAAAAACTGTAGCATTAATGATGCTTAAAATAACATTTTACGCAGAAAACAAGCACAAAATTTTTTAATTTTTTAGAACACATTTACTCATGAAAGTTACATATTTGCAGCACAAAAACTTCTTTTTTAACTGCTTTTCTTGCAAATTAAATTATTGTTCCAAGTTTTGTTTTGGTATGATATATTCTGGTATACCCTTCAATGTATGAAACACCAACATTCTATAGAATGCCTAGACATTGTATATAACGCTGGGCACTTCTAAGCAAAATATGAAATATGATAATTATTACATACATTCCCTAGGTATTGTATAAGGCATTATATATAATGACAAATGCTATTTGGCAAAGTTAAAAAGCTTTTGATAAGGCTATTATATAAATGATGTGCATTCCTCATAAATAAAAATGTTGTTCTGAAAAAATGAGAGTGCCATTAAAAAAATTTATTCAAATACATTAAGAAAAATATGACTGAACATTTGCAATACGACTGAACAGAAACTTAAATTCTAGTATAAAAAAAAAAAGGAAATGATTTTTGTTTTGTTAATTTATTTTCCAGTATCTATGTATTTCATAAAATAAAAAAGAATCCAATACCAAAATATTTTAGAATTAAAAAAAACAATTCAAAATTCTTAAATAATATAAAAACTCATTGCAACTACTTTAGTAGTCTAGTAATGGCAAATTCATCATTTGACTTCTCATTATTTAAATACGATAGTTGAAATTTTGACAAAAAAATACTTGAGTTGAAAAATAAAACATAATGCATAAGAAAAGTTCTTTAAAGCATAATAAAAACTACAACATCACTATTTAAAAAAATGCTATTTTGTTTCTCTAATTGTAAAACCAGAACCTTTGCAAAGATTATTTACCAGATATAAAAAAATGTATAAGTTGAGGCAGTTTAGAGACTTAATGGCGTGAGTAAATTAATATAGAATATTGCTATAGTGCTCACACCATAGATCAAATCATTTCTTTAATAATTCTTCCACATAGTGCAACTTTAGGCATTCCAATATTTATAAATTATTAAGCATTTATTATCTTTTTGGAGCCACAAGGGAAATTTTCGTTTAGAAAAAATAGCTATCAAATTAATACTGTTTACATATTTAGCTTAGGTTAAAATTTTGTAAATTTTTTTGACTAAAATATCAAAGAAAAAAAACTTGTTATAGCTTTTAAGTGCTCAATAGTGCTAAAAAAATCATAAATTGCTAAAAAATATTTATTATTTCTATAAAATAAACTGCTATAAATTTACAATAAATTTTAATTTGAGCTTATTGAGAGTAAAAAAATATTTCTAAACTAAAGTGCACACTACAAATAAAATTCAAAAGAGGCTTACAAGTTTACTGAAATCATTGTAAAATAAAAGTAAATTATTTTCATGAATATAGAAACTTAAAAAAAAAAAAATTCTGTTAATGATAAACCTAATCAAATAAAGTTTGTATCAAAATAAAATTAAAATAGTTATTTTGTAAAAATAAACTATTCTAATACCAATATAGTAAATATTTATAAAAAAAATACAGTCTAACTGAATTATGATAAGAATGTAGGGATCAAAGCAATTAGTTGTTAAATAAGGGTGCTTGTTAAACCAGTCAGCTGAAATTATTAAAAACAATAATTATAATGTGCAAAAATGAATAAGAAAATGTTCAAAAACAAATATAAATAACATAAAAAGTGTCAACTAATCTTTTTATGTTATTCTTTTAATGAAATCTTCTTCATTATTCAAAACTAAATGTTTTCTCACACGTAATATTCACTTCTTTTCTATAATTAGATCTCAAGCATGTATGAGTTTTAAAATTTTATAGTTTTCCCTTTACTAACTATGAGAAATACATTATTCCCTCGACCTATTTAATGGACCAATTGTAATTACTCAGGTTTTTCTAAGACTTAATATTATTATTAGATGAGACTAATTTTTATTCAGGAGCACTTTGGTTTTGTATAACTTGGATGTTCGTTCTCTGACTATAATGGTTAAATAAACTTTTTAAATCCTGTGCCTGTTTGCTCAGCTTGCCCGACTGTCATCCTTACATATATTTGTAGTGATTGAGATAGCATTTAAGTATCTTTTTTTTTTCGTAATGGGATCTTAGCAAATCCTTGGTAGTTTAAATAGTGCTTGATATACATGGTGCAAAATACATCCTTTCTAGTATTTATTGATTCCAGAAAAGTTTGCCAATTTCTTCGCTAACTCCATGCCATAGTGGTAGATTGTTTCTTCCGCATCACTGTCAGATTCTCCGTTTTACAACCTTTTGGCAAGAAACATGCACAAAGACACAAACAATAGGTAAAAAATGTTTATAATATAAACACATATGATGTTTTGAACTTAAGTGGCATTTTTATACTCTTTGAAGGAAATGTTCAGGAACCCTCTTCATTCCCACTTTTTTATATGAGTTTTATGGCATTTAAATTAATTTATTACAATTTTCTTTATCATATCAGAGTTCATTATAAATAAGCTTGACTGTTTTTCAATTTCTTGATATGCTGGCACTTATTGGTAATTTAAATTACTATTCAGTACACATTATAAACTTAATTTTTCGGAATAGCAGTGGTTAACTTTAAAATATCAGGTAATTTACAGCTTAATTAATTTGAAATAAAAACCATTTTAAAATTATTGTAGTTCAGAGAAGCAGAAAAAGCCGGTTTATAGCAGTGAGTAGGCGAAAAAACTCTTGTTGCTCCATTTCTAGCATGCATTTAAATAGTGCTACAACAATTTTCAACAATATAGTTTCAATACAATAGATAAATTTAACCTGAAATAATTGAAAACCTTCTAACCTTATCTATCAGTTCGAAATGCTTAGATAATATTAAACTGTCTGAATACCAAAATAATATTTTATATTATATTGGGAGTTATTTAATTTAATTAATGTTATGTCAATAAATTATAAGGTGTCAATCTTAAAAATGATTTAACGTTAGAATTATTTTTGGCCTTCATTACTCAGTGTAATTTAAAATTATGTTTTAAGGTAGTTTTTGAACTTATTTTGCTGAAAAGGCAGTTAATTTTAAGCTAAGAAAGATTAATAATAAATGAATATTTTTCAAAAGAAGTTGCAGACTTTTCTCATACAACTTAGAATCGAGGAGATCCATACATCCCAAATAATCAGACAAATCGATAGATTCATAAATGTGCCTAAAATTACACTTTGACTTCATAAAGAGCAATTAAAAGCTGTGATTCTAATCACCCAAAGCTTTTGAAATTGATTTCATTTTCACATCAGTTTTAGTCATAGTATAGTTCATTTTTATATTCATACATTTTTAAATATTTGTTGAATTTTTAATATACAGGGTGTTTATTTAGTCCCAGACCCATTTTGATGTTTAATAACTCATAAAATAATAAAGATAGATTAAAATTAATAACATAAATGGTTAGATAGACTCAAAAAGTTTCATGACCCTTGTCAATGAACTTCCACGTGTGCCCCCTTCGTCGCACGGAGAATATCAAGTCAATAGTCAATTTCACGCCAGGTAGAGGCAAGCATGTCGGCATCCACAGAGGCTATGCGGTTGTAATTCTGGCTTTTAGGTCATCATGTTCCACACGATCCTCCTGTAAACATTGTCCTTTATAAATCCCCAAAGAAAAAAGTTGATTGAGGTGGAGGTGGATTGAGGTGAACCCCAATGAGGTGGTACACCATCTTGTTGCAAAAAGACATGTGGCTGAAGCTCTTCTAGTTGTGGAAATATGAAGGTATATGTGGGTATCATCGTTCGTAGTTCTTTGAATGACCATTTTCCAGGAAGATGGATTGGGCGAGGAGGTCCAATTCCTTGGCCACCCAGATCATCTGATATAACACCGCTGAACTTTTTTCTTTGGGGATTCATAAAGGACAATGTTTACAGGAGGATCGCGTCGAGCATTGATGATCTAAAAGCTAGAATTTCAACCGCAATAGCCTCTGTGGATGCCGACATGCTTGCCGCTACCTGGCGTGAAAATGACTATCGACTTGATATTCTCCGTGCAACAAAGGGAGCACATGTGGAAGTTCATTGACAAGGGTCATGAACCTTTTTGAGTCTATCTAACCATTTATGTTATTAATTTTAATCTATCTTTATTATTTTATGAGTCATTAAACATCAAAATGGGTCCGGGACTTTATAAACACCCTGTATTTTTGAAATAGTATCATTTATTTATATTGCATAATTTAGTCTTACATGTGATATATTTATCTGGAAAACTTTATTGAAATGATAAATTTATATTCAAATATATTCTAAACTTTTATTGTTAAATTAGTGCAATTTACATATACAATATTAAATTGCACTAATTACATTACATTAAATTAGTGCAGTTTACTTTATTTTGATTTTGTATGTGATACATTTATCTGACAATTTTTTAACTTACTTCAGTTTATTTAAATTAGATGTATCTTTTAGGAAAATTTTGTGTTCACAAAAGCATTTTATTATACATAATAAAGAATTTTTGATGTTATAAGATTTTTTTTCCATTTTATTTAAATAAACACACTTTTAGTTAAAATAAAACACATATTTCGCTATTTACACTTTTGGTTTAAATAAAAAAAAATTTGAATAATTATAACTTTGAATGAAATATTTAACAGAATTCAACTGTCATTCATCAGAAAGTTTCCTCATTTAGCCTTTTTTAACTGACAAATGGGAGAAAACAAGATCTTTGAAAAACGACAATAGAAACATGGCTCCAGTTCAATCTCTAGGTCATTGGGTACAAAAGGAAAAAATCACTGAAGTATGCCAAAACTATTAAATATAAACAAAACTAATGAAATTCAGATAATAGAAAATAAAATTAAGAATACTAAAGCCGACTATAAAATTAAATAAGAATTTATTATAATAAAAAGAGGAACACAGTGCTCCAAAAAATCATACACAAGAAAATGATAATTACATTGCTAAAATTAAAATGAAACAAATTTTGAAGTTATGAACATAGATCTTCTTGCCTTATAAGAAAGTTCTTTAAAACATTTCTTCCGATGAATTACCTTCTGGAGATTTCATAAGAAGGGATATTATCATGCTAAAAGAAAAAATAATCATAAAATTCTCAACACACTCCCATTATTACTAAAAAAAGTATTTAATTAGATATTTAATGAAGAAAGTTTCTAGAAATTTTGTTAGAAATATTTAGCAAGTGCAAAAAAATCAAAACTAAAAATTTTTCTTTTTCAAATTTCGAAAAGGGAGGGTCTGTTTTAGCTATAATACACATGAATGAACTAAGTTACAATGAAGGGTAAATTAAGCATCAGCAACCATTTCCCAAATTTGTTCTTTAACTGACCAATTTTTTCCCACTTGCACAAGTTTTTAAACTAATTTTGCTTTAGCTTACAACTTTCTCATTGAATAAGAAAAGAACTGGTTTATTGACAGGAAGAATAGCAGGCACAAGTAAAAGGACATCGTTAGGGGTCACAAACACTCAATCAGTTATAAAAAAAAGGAAAATAATAAAAAAATAGGGAAAAAAGTCATTTAATAACAATACATTTTCAATCTGCAAAAATAAAAGTTTTAGCTGGAAGAATTCACAAATAAGCGTACTAGATAATGCCAATAATCCCAATTGAACAAAATGTATATTATATGTAATTACATAATCCTGGTTTACTTATTTTGGGAGGGGGTTGCAGCCACATTATCTATTTCTTTGTTATGGTCCAGCTAGAAAATCTTTCAAAAAGGTAAAAATTACATATATCACACATATAAATAGGACTATGTACTTTATTTTATAATCGGTATCAAACAGCTGACCCATTTTTGGTTTTATGATTATCAATGTTCAACTCCGAAGTCTTGCAATTATGAACCCAACCCAGAAGACAAGAGAATTTATGGATCAAGCATTGGGGCAAACTAACCTTCCTAGACTTCTTGATAGAATTAGCCCATGTTTATGTTAGATGGAAAGGGAAACCAGAATACCCTTCCGGGCAATTCAACCAGAAGGTCAACCAGATAACTAAAATTTGAAACTTAATATTTTTAAGCAAACAAGGTATCATTTTCAAGGTAAAAAACTGAAGATTTAAAAATAATGAACTTTAGCTTAATATCATCAGTTTTCAATAAGTTACAGGGTGTAATATGAGGGGCTACATCATTTGAAAATTTTAACCATGGTAAGTAAATCTCTAACAAGTACAGTTTTTTTGAAAAATTTACACTAATAATAAAAAATGGAATAAATAATAATTAAAGTAAACTGTAACAAAAAAAATTATCTTGCACAAATGTGTAGAAACATTTCACATTTCGATTTATAGAAAAATTCCCAAGATGCACTTTTGATATTACCCCAACACCAAAATACATATTTAAATGCACTGTGCCAGTAGGATTTAACATTATTAAATTATTTTTTTCTGTTTAAAGCAAGATTCTAAGTGTCAATTGTATAGTCTAGGGGTGCACAACCTACGGCTCACGGGCCACATGCGGCCTGCCGACTAAGGAAGTGTGGCCCGCGAGAGCTTCTAAACACAATTTTAAAATTAAAAAAAAATTCAAAAAAAAATTACTAATAATCGAATATTTTTAATCTCACTTTTGAATCACCACGTTTCGACGCACTCAATTTTTACAGATTCTATGGTAAACGTTTAACGCGTTTGCTTTAAGCTGATTTTATCGTAAATCTAGATCTTATTTAAGCAGTATTTCCACTTTTCAACATCATTTCGAAAATCACGAATTTCGATTACGATATTACTACGACACTCAAGTTTAGATCGTCCATTTAAATAAACACTTTTGGCGCACTGTTAATGTGTCGATTTCGTCGTAAATCTAGGTGACTTTTTATCTTTCTCTTTTTCGGCAGTTATTGCTATGCATTCCCATGAAGTATAAAAAATTCCAATGATTTTATTACATGTGAATTTTCAATCGCGCATTTGACATGCTTTACTCGTGCTGAGTTCAGCATAAATTTAAGTGATTTTTTTCTCATTATATCCCTAATTTAAATGCAATGTAATTGCAGCCTGAGAAATTCACAAAGTGGAGGAAAACGTGAATTCTGCTCAGTGTAATTTTGATTTCAATTTTTTGTTAGAAAGGAAAGAAAACGTTTACTATATAAAAAAAATGTAATATTCAATAAAAAGAAAATAATAAAGTACAATAAGCATAGAATTTTATTTTGAACTATAAGTTTTTGTTAAAAATTTTATAAATTTTCTTTAAATAAAATATTTAATTTGTTGCTCATTTACGTCGTATTAGAGCTGCACAAAGGGCTATTGGCGACGGTCTGAGAAACATCCCTGAGGATGATCCAAAGACATGCCATCACAGTTTTGATCCTCTGCAGAGGGGATTGCGCTCCCGTTTTGGTAGTACGACGACCTGTAAGCGAAGTCGAGCAGTTTACGGAAGATCAGTTCAACGAGTACCGATACTGCACACCCTCGGTCCCTACGTAGACTGATCCAAGTAGTCAACCACCCGCACACTGACCACAGGCAGTAACGCTAGACTTCGGTGATCTGCTGGGAACCGTGTCTTAACTATCAGTCCACTGTGGGACAAATATTTAATTTATAATACTTAATATATAATAAATTTTTTCCTACTTTCACTCTGTGAGCATGGCAATTCTTTAAAATTAGAATTTATTTTTGATAAGAATTTTTGCATTGTGTAATATGATTTAAAAAAAAAACATTTATTTTCTCCAATGTTTATTTATTTTAATAAATCTATTTTTGAATGAATTCTAATAATTGAACACCTTTAATTTTCTACAAATATATTATTATTATACTGATAAAAAAAATTAGAACACTAAACCCCAAGGGTCTGTGCAGGTCGAATTTACTACCGTTTAGCGGTACCTTCACATATTCAACTTTAGAAAAAATGATAGTTTCACAAAATACTTTTTCGTATAATTGTATTTTTGTATCCCTTAAGAAGCGATAAATCCATATTTTTACCATATTTTTATGTTGACTTTTTAATATAATTTTTCACAAATTATGTCTAAATTTTCACAAAATAGGTACCTCTCAGAAAAACCTAGACAGACCCTTAAACACATTCAAAAAAATATTAGCACATTTGCCATCAACATGTCTAAATATATCTGCGGCCCTTCGTTAGTCAACCTGCTGTGAAAGTGGCCCTTCACTCAAAAAGGTATTGCACCCCTAGTATAGTCTATTTTGAAAATAATAAATTGAATTTGGAAAAATTGGATTTCGAAAATAATAAATATTTTTATTAAAAATTAATAATTCATTAGTTTTTACGTCCGATACTATTTACTTCTGGCGCCACTGATTTTGTATTATTATATTTATTTTCACCTACTATTTAACTTTTTCTTAATAAAATGAAGTGAAATATGAATAGAAACTGTCTAAATATTCTCTTAGGTTAATTTCGAACAATGTATTTCACCTCCGTAATCTAATAAAATCCGCTTAACTATGCTGCATTTAAAAGTATTTATATTAGAACTTTTTATTTCATTTCATCTTTTTTTTTAATTTTACCTATTTATCTTCTTTTTTGGGGGGGATAAGCAAATCAGTTTGGATTTTTTGAGAAACAATTTAACTTCATTTTAGAACATTTAAAAATTAATCATTTTGCTTAGAACCTGGAAAAAGGCATGTATTTGGATCAAAACCTTTTTAGAACATTCTGCAGTTATCTATTTTTTGTAATTGTTCCTTTTTTAGAAAAGCGACTCAAGCCCATATTCAGAAAACCGTTTTTGAGTTTAAGCACATTGCTTCCCTCATCATGCAGAAATAGAATGACTGAACGTAATTCACATTTGGCGGGAGACTATATTTCGAAGCATGTTTATGTGCCCCCTACATTCTCAGAAATGACAACCACGAATCTATGTTTTCCCGGGACAACTAAAAACACAACGCAAAACGTCTGCGAAGAAACCTAGCAGATTTTACCAGCAACTTTCCTTTAGCGACCAATCAGACCTTGAAAACAAAATAACCCTCATATAATGTTAATTTTCATAACAGAATGCAGTTAAGTATGAATACTCAAAACAACTCTTAGATAATATGCTAAAGGTGATTTCTTAATAGATATTTTTAATACATGTTTAATTTTTGCATACCTAATCATAAAATTATAAATTAAAGCTAAGACTTTTTAATTATTTTTTTCATAAATTTCTGAATTTTCATTTTTAAATCAATGATTAATTACATACAATTTTTATAAAAATTTGATAAATTTGTAAACAATTTTAAAGCTTTTTTAATATTCTGATCCAAAAAACACCAAAACATTTGTGAGCATTTTAAAGTGCATTTTCAGTTATTAGCAGAGGTGCAAAAAACCCACCTACCCAGTAAAATCCGCCCGAGTTTTACTGGGTAAAACCCACTCTGAAAAACCTATCCTAAAGTGGGTTATACTGGGATTTTCTAAGATTGATTTCTTTTTTATCCTCCGTTATGTTAAAGAGCTATTCTATTGAAATATATATGTAGTCTAGCCTAAAAAAAATTAACCTATAGTGAAAAAACTAATTGTGTTGGAGACTGGAGAGTCACCTTGCTGGCTAGATTTGATGGTAAGGCCATTGATTAGTCGGTGCCATTGATTCGCTTTCTATGCAAACATAAATGTTTCCTCAAATATTTTTTAAGATTAAATATAAATAAAAAGTAATCCGGTGTTAAAATAAGTTTCAAATGTGTGATGCATGTGAGTACATATAACATTTTGTATAGTGATGTCAGAAGAAACTTTTTTCAGATTTTTGCATTAATTTATTTGTATTAATTATTAATTACCTATATGTTAAGTTAATTTATAAAATTAAACTTAATTATTAACATAAAAATAAGCTTTTTTACAATAAGGTACCTATCCCTGCCCTCTCTTTTGAAAAAAACCCCATTAAAACATGATACACCCAGAAAAACCCACACAGGTTGAGTTTTTCTAGAAAAACCCGGGTTTTTTGCAACCCTGGTTATTAGAAATAATAAAATTTGTACATTTTATATAGAGTAAGATATGATATAGCTCAATTATTATTTTTTTTTCTTTACACTTTGATAGCTTTTTAGTATTTTGCTTAGGATTCACAATTATTATTGTAAGGTAAAAAATTAGTTATTATTTTGGAGCTAAAAATTATTTTTTTAAAGAGAATTAATTAAAAACCAAATTAATAACTAAAAATTTCATTGGAATTAGAAAAAAAAACAGTTGAGAAAAATTTTAACTCTAAACAAAAAAATCCATCAACTAAAAATAATATAAGTACACAATTTGTCTAGCTATAAGTGTACATATTTATTTAGAAAAATAAGGATAACAAAAATATTGAAGACATATTGCTACAGGTCACATTGATTATGAAATTCTGTATTAAACTTAAATGAATTTAAGTATGAGGCCTTTCTAGGACATGATTGACTTGCTGTTCATCTGCACCGCATAGGCATTTCAATCATACTTTTTCACTTTGTGACTCTGGAAGTAATGGACAGGGACCATTTCAGAATGAAATGGAACACGGGTGGTTTTTTCCAAATCCAAAAAAAATCAAGATTCAACAATCTCATCAAAACAATAATTTTGATCTTTTTGCAATCATGGAGATTAATATAAAACTATGTATTTTTTAAAAAAAAAATTAAATGTTAAAAAGTTTTAACTTTTTGTACTACATAAAATTCTCTTAGTTTTCAAATTAAACTATTTTTTTTTAATTGACATCACTTAGCAATTACAATGGTTCAAACTCAGTTTTTATAATTTTTCTAAATTTTCTTCCAGTGTCCTAAAAAAATCCCAACCCTATTCAAAATTTAATTAGTACACCTTTTAGAAAAGTCTTTGAATAATTGTTCTTCCAGAAATAATCTTTCCAATAATATACTAGAAAAACACTTTCACTTGAAATTTTAAAGTAAATATGGGCATCACTGTAATCATATAAATCATTACATTTCATCATATAAATCTCTATGAATGCTCATTGAAGCATGGCTGAGAACTGAAGAACAATTTTAAGAAGAAAAAAAAGAGAATAATTAAATTTTTTTTTTTTTTTGAATAAAATGGTTACAATTTTTTGGAGAAACTATTAGGACTTACAAAAAGAAAAAAACTTACCAATACAAATAAACAAAGAAGAAGATCAAATAGAAAGCTAATCTAATCATGGAATCTCTCATATGTTGTTTCAAATTTCCTCTATTGTGAATTTCTGTAGGATCATATATACCAAAATTTCCCGATGGGACAGTCACTTTTCTATAAAATAAAATAAAAATTTAAAAAAAGATAAATGAATAACAAAAGGTTAAACTGGGTTATCAAATCAACAATTTCAAATAAATCTAAGTTTAATAATTTTATTTAAAATAATTCAATGCACTTGTATAACACAAAAAAAATAACCTCCTGCACAAAATAAGAAAAGAAAAACTTTTACTGGTTGCCATCACCAATAACAGGAGCTAAGACATGGGTCGCCAAACTTTTTTGATCATCGACCCCTAAGTAATTTTTCGAAATCTGCATCAACCCCCATAAAAGTAATTTTATGTTAACGATTTTAAACATTTATTAAAGTAATAGTACATTGTGTAACAGTAGTTTTATGAAAAATACATTAATGTTGAAATTTAATATTTATTAAATAATAAGAAAGGTTTTTGCTTCTAATCAATGAGATGGGTGCGTCTGGTGTTTTTTTGCAAGGTTCGCTATATTGGGTTTAAAATTGGTCAATTTTAATATTAAATCCCCTAGAAACTCCACATTCCATTTATTTCTGTACTTAGTTAAGATTGAATTTACGTGACTGAAACCGGCTTCAACCATATAGGAACTNAAAGTCGAACTTCCGATATGTCGAAGTTTTTCGTCAGTCCTATCAGATTCGAGTTATCGAGAATTCACTGTATTTATATTTGTCCAAAATTTTCTTATTGATAAATTTTTAAAAAGCGTCTTTGCTTCAAGATCTGACAATTCAGCAAGCTCATCTTGCAGGTTGATGTCCAATTTGAACAGAAAATGGCACAACAATCTAATCAGGGATGTCAATGTTTTTCATTTGCTAGTAAAAGAAATTTTATCTTGCTAAAAATAATCACCTTATTCTCAACTTGATAATGTAAAAGAGTAAAACACTTGTACTTTTAAAGTTTAATATATATATATATATATATGGGTCATTCTCACGAAAACTGTAATTTTTCAGTTCATAAAATCCCAAAAAAGTAAAGTGAATAAAAAGCTCTGAAACTTTCTATATTAATAGAAATATGTAATGGCATTATAAAGAAAGTATATATCCTATAAATTATACTTAATATTTAAAGTAATTAATTTTTTAAATAATTAATTTATAATTA